AAGAGATCCTCATGTGCTTCTTCTATGTCTCTTTTCTCCTTACTTTCTGCCTTCTTCTAGTGACTTACAATTTAAAATTGTTTCACTAGACTTTGCTTGGCTTTTTTCTTGTTCAGTGCATCGACGCCAGATTGCACATGTTATATTCGACAGATTGCACCTATTTTGTTTGTGGTGAGGCTTACGCCTCTATACGTTTTGAGGCTTACGCCTCGCCTCATGACAAAAAAAGTCTCAGTACCCGTTTACGTTTTCTCAAACTATGCTAAGCACAATTGGTCCTTTTGAATGGATTCTGTCCAAAAACACCGTTAGTTTTGCAGGTGAACCGCATATTCTTCTAAAGATAAATTGCATATGTAGTCCCAACTTGGTGAATGTAGCAATTTTGCCTCTAACTAATTTTTCATAGGTTTTTTTCCCTAATCTTTGAGCAATAACAAATTCAGTCCTCCTACCTATGAATTTGACCAATTTACTTGACAAATAATCGAACCACTTAATGTAAACCAATCTAAGAATCTAGATTAAACAAAACAGAATAAATAAAAACTTATCATCTTCTTCACTCACCCTACGACCACCGCCTCCACCACCTAAAAACAAGTACAAACATATTTCTAACAATTTTCAATTAGTTAAAATATATTTATTGTCATAATTAAAATGTCTACTTCTGATGCACCATTTTTAGACCCATTTACAACAATAGCAACCATCGCCAATGGTGGTTGCGGCCAAACAAGCCTAGACAACTCATTGGGGTCACAGAACGACTCGACTTCTTATTGGATTCCTGGCACTAATAACCATACGCAATAATTAATGAAAGGCTTTGTTCAGGTCAAAGAATAATAGGTTATGCCGATATCATTTTGGGAGACTAATTGTGTTTGTATTGATGGCAGATGAATTCCATCTCCACCTCCAAGCCTAGTGACAGAGCACAGCGTCAAGAGTTCATCTTGCCACGCCCCAATGGTGGTGCCCAAGTGCAAGTTGGGGGTGAGTGATCTATAGTAGGTCTTGTGAGAAGTAGTGGCGAAAGTGAGGATAGTTATAGTGGTGGAGATGATGGTTGTGGGTGTTGATATGGTGACCATGACAAGCTGAGCAGTGGAGATGGTGATGACTGATTGCAGAGTGGAGTGGTTGTCTTCTCTTGCTAATTATTGGGGGTTGGGGTAGCTAGGTGGTGGTGGCGGTGGTGGGAAAGGGTGGAGAAGGAGTCGTAGCACGTAGGATTTGGGATAGTTGACAAAAAAGGGATTGACTGCTATTTCTCAAAGATTAGGAACAAAAATATGATGAAAAATTAGCTAGAGTTGTGATTGCTACTTCTGCCAAAGTTGAGACTACATATGCAAATTTTTATCTTTAAAAACGGTGCATTTCATGTGCAAAACTAATGGTCGGTCCTTTTGGAATTGTGCCAAGAATGCAAAGGTTTGGGACCACTGTGCCAAGTTTAGAAGGTTTGGACAAAAAACGCAAGATGGGCAAACATTTCAGACCATTTGCGCCAATTTCCCTTCAATTATTTCTCCATGATTTGAGCTTTTTCTAAAACCATACACATCCTTAGAAATGACTGAATTCATAAAATTCTCATGGTGAAGCTAAAGAGTAGCAGTGTGCCACTGCATTTTGAAGAATTACAGGCATCTTTTCCTGTGAAAGTTTACATCCACTATGATGCCACCAGAAAGGTGCCCGAATTCAAGTTGTGCTAAGAAGCCTTAAAAGCTAAGTGCACTTGTATCTACTCAAATAGTGCAGATAAACCATGAAGCCTTTTATCTATTGAACTTGCTTTTAATTAGCATTATTCAAGTGAGTAACTAAAATACTTCCTAAATCCCAGAAGTAATAGGATATTAGTTGCCATTCCAACATGACTATGCATAATCAAATAAAAAGTCCACAGAAATCAAATTTTCCTCTTTCATAAAAGGTACAAAATATAGAAACTGTTTCGAAAGGAAAATGTCATTTTTCCAGAAGAAGAGAAAAGTCTGATCATCAAAGGATATTTCAAAAATGTATACCTCACGTATTTGTCTAAGACATTCACCATCCTCTCCATAGATTGCAGGAACAACAGAGCGAGGAACAACAACTTCCACAGTTGTGCTGGTGATAATAGCTGGATGATTCCCTCTACATTGGTGAAATAAATGTATGATTAAGAATCCATGAAAACTAAAACTAATAACTAGTTATAAAAATCTAGAATGGACAAACCCTCCAAATCCACCAAGTCTTCTCTGAGGAGCTCCTGGATAATCCGGGAAGCCTATTGGCCCAGGGTCTTCAATAAGCCCCTGTGCAACAGTTTGTAAGACATCAAAACGTGAACTACTGCTATCTTTCTTCTATCTTTCTCACAAATGACCGTTAGCATTGGATACTAGTCAATTATGTTGAAATGCTCTTAAACTAAAGAGTAGATATACATTTCAAACAATCATAATGAAAAGGAAACAAGGCATTATTTGACAAAAGAACTAGGAAGAAAAGTTATCTGAGGATCATGCAAATCACTATGATGTAATATGAGTTACTTACAAACACAGTATGAAATAATAGGCAGATTCTACCTGAGGTCCCCATGGTGCAGATGGCATTCTTTCAGAAACATGAGGAGGCATACCAAGTCTATGAAAATCATGAGCAAAAGGAGGGTGATCATTATGGGGATGGAAGCCACCATGCAGTGGAAGGCCACCAGGAGCATCAAACTTCTGAAAAGATGGACCCAAAGAGAACATTCCTGAAGGTGAAAGCTCTCTCCTTCCCATGTATGAAGGAAACTGAGGTGTTTGGTCCAGAAAGCCTGGATTAGGAGGGTGATGCCTAGGAGGAAATGCATCACGAAAATAATGATCTCGCAATCTTGCAGTTATCTGCAAAAGAGCCTCTTCAACTCTTTCGAAATCTCCATTTATCTGCACATGCAAATAAAACCAAGCAAAAAGAAAAGGTCAAAGATGAGTCCAGTGTTACATTTACTTGTACCCTAAACACCATAATAAAGGGGGCATAGGGATAAAGCTTTAGACAAAGTAATAAAGAAATAACACCAATAAATTAGGCTCTGTAAAAAAACCATATGAAGAAACACTAGTTCCTTCATCCAACTGCACCTGAACTACTTCTTCATTTTCTGAAGCACATTTTGGGATTTTATCTTTCCCCAGTATACGGATATAAGCTCCAGTTGATTTCCTCATTTCAGCAATAATAGCACCACCCTTGCCAAGGAGACATCCAATTTGATTAGAGGAGACAAGGAGTTTTGCCATCAATGTATCCTCGTTGCTTTCTGGAGCAGCCCTATATATTCTTGATTGCACACGAAGTACTGCATCTTGTGGGGCAGATATTCTTTCATCTGGATACTGTATTATAGAAACTAAACTTTTACCATTGCTGCATTGCATCAATAACAAAAAGTCGAAAAGAGAAAACAAAAGTTATGAAACTTTAGCAGACTCAAAACCATACAGCTGGGCCAGAAATGACAATTATGCGATCCTCAGAATCAGCTACACCATCCAGGACTTTGATCTCACAGCCAGTTTCATGCTGAAGTGCCTTGACTATAGTCCCTCCCTTTCCAATTACCCCTCCCACCTTCTCATCCGGACACAATAACCGGAAGCTAACTACATCTGGAGAAGGATTCGTCCTGCCTGGAAAACCAGCTTCATCACCACGACGTCCAGAAGAATGTGGTGTCCCTTGTCCATGGAGAGAACGTTTTGAATATTGAAATGCATCCTGTCTAGTAGAGGGACCAAAGGAAGAAGATGAGGGCCCACTAGGATCTGAAGAGAGAGAGTCCTGATCGCGAACATGATGCTCAAGTAATTGCTGGGAAACTGACTGAAGAGCTTTTCTAACAGCATCAAGCCCTCCAGAAATCTGCCATAAAATTTTTCAAGAAGATTAAAATAAACCTCTTACGTTAAAAGAAAGTGTCTTGCATGTAAAGCAAAATATCAAGAAAACAACAACATTCTATGTCCTACAGTTGAATATTTGGGTCGCAAATTCAATGAGGTACACAAATAAGAAAGCGCTAGTTATCAAACTAACACAAACACCATGACCACACAGGATGTGCGTTAAGCCGCACTGCAGTGAACCAGAGTTTTGAACTAACCTTAGGCCCACCAACTTATAGGAATTAAAATTCCAACATATCAAAAGTAAACAAAGCATAAAGTACAAAAGATAATTCATTGAGCTCCTAATATTTAATAAATCTTTCTTAACATCAACAATCATCTGCCCTTCAGTGTTTGAATGTATCTGTCAGCACATAGCTGTAACATTATAATTCAGCAACACATTGCACCTGACGGAAGATTGTGGGTCCTCTAGGAAATAGATTAGAAAGAAAAAGAAAATAGAATTATGAAGTTGCTGGTGTCTAAATTTAGTTACAAGCAACTTTTGACAACTTTGATAAAAAGTACTGAAACAGAGAAAGCAAACCTAAAGTGCAGATAACATCATTAGTTATAGTGTTCATATCAGAGCCATACCAGTTAAACTGCAAAGTAAAAATATAAGACAAGATACCTGAACTAGCTCATCTGAAGAAGATGCACAAGAAGGCAATTTGTCCCGCGGAAGGATTCGAATCTGTGCTCCACTTTCAGAAGACATCTGTTTTATAACGCTACCAGCTCTCCCTAGCAGGCACCCCACTTGACTGGAGAACACAAGTAACCTCACAATAGATGAGGAAACTTTATTAACCCCATCATCCCCTCCATCCATCTCTATTTCTCCATCAACGATCCTTTCGAACACGAGTAACAGAGCTTTGTGAACAGATGAAACTACATTTTCTGACTGAGAATCCTCAACTGGAACAGACTGTTTATCTTCATCATTTTCTCCATGCTCATCTGTGTCACCACCCTCCTCACCCTTTCCGTTGGTGTTACTACCCTCCACACAATCCGGCTTGCTGTGTCCGCTGCCAACTTCATTTTCGTTATCTGAACCTACAATAACAACGACTCTTTCATCACATCCAGGATAAGTATCCTCAACCTGGACCTTAACCCCCGTTTCCTGACGTATCTGAGATATAACTCCCCCACCTTTTCCAATTACAGCACCAATCTTGGAAGCTGGACAGAGTAAACGTATAACATTGCTAGCAGGGGATCCTCGCAATGCAGAATTCTCTGAACCAAAAGCTGCTGATTTTTGCCATTTCCCTCTACCATTTAACTCTCTAGGATTCCGATCATATGGTCTCTTTGAAGGCGTCAATGGAACAGACATGTTTACAGAAACTGAACTGACAGAATACTAATTTCTGCAAAGAATTCCAAGTGCTAGGAATCAACAATCAATCAACCAAAAAACCTAATAAAGCATTGCAAAGTTCAACCTAAGAAAGCCTAATATCATGAATTTTACAATCACTGCAGCCAGAAATGCTACAGTAGGTGAAATATAAACAGGATACTTAATTTCATGTAATATTGTTATATAGTTATAGAAATGCAAATAACATACATGTGAGAGTAAACGAGAATGAAATGCTCATCAAATGCCTTATATTTAGCCTTTAAAATACCATTGGATGAAGGAATAAGTTCATTATTAGAGGGTAAAGCCCTAAAAGTGCAAGGAAACTAGCAATTTCATCATTATTATGAGAAAACATAAAGGTTTTATAGGAAGAAAAATTGAAAATTATCTGTACTGTCTAATTTAAAATGACATTAACAAATTTTTCTTACGAGCTAGATTTGAATCATTTTTAATAGAAGTATTAACGGGAAACTACATCTTATCAAGGGGTTTTCAAGTTGGAAGTCTCCAAAGTGAACCAACAGCTGAAAATGGAAAGAATAAATTACTTATCCAAGGACATCAGAAAATATTCTCTGTGAGAGCCATTAGTCTTATAGCTATTCCATAATGGGATTCATTTTATGCAAAAACTGCAAGTACGTGATAAATTTGCAAATCTAACAAAACCGATCTAGATGGCTGATAACCCCAATTTTGGTTTCATAGTACATCACCGACTTGTGCTACAAAAAAAGGTTGTGATAAGAAATGCTCGTGCTCTTGCTACTACGACAGGATTTGAACCCGTGACATTTTGTAACCAAAACAAACGCACTATCAAGCTGCGCCACACCACTTCAATTGTTCTCCACTTTTTTTCATGGTACAAGAACGGTCACAGATAATCTTCCAAACTTTTTGTTCAGAAGACTTAGTGTAGGAAACTAGGGGCAGAGCCACCTGGGGTGTAGTGAGGGCAACTGCCCCCAATGGATTTTGGTCCTGGGTATTTCACCGCTTAAGGGGCGGCCAATTTTTTTAGGCAAGGAAAACACCATAAACAACCGCATCAAAAATTCAAGACAAGGGTTGTCGAAAAAATCACTGTTGCTAGAGGAAGATTACCATCAAGAAACAACAATTTTGGAAAAATAAATACATTATAAGGAGTTGAGTTGAATTAAATCATTCACAACAGTCGGATTGAGTGCTATTGCAACATAAAAAGCCCGTTTTCCATTAATAACAATCCGACACTACCTTCCAACTTTGTTGATGAAGAAGTTGAGCAGAAATCACAGCTACACGATGAATTGGTGCAAAGGGGGAAATCGCCTAGGTTATAGTTGGATATGCATGGGTTTTTTAATTGGGGGAATGAGTTGAAATAGTGGTGGCAAACGGCCGAGCGTCTGCTGGACTGTGGAAAGTTGGCATTGGGTGGCTCGGGCTCGTCCGATATACATGGGTTTTTAATTGGAGGAATGAGTTGAAATAGTTTTGGCAAGCAAGCGGGCGGGCGGGCGACTCATGGAAAGTCGGCTCATGGGTGGCTCAGGGCCGAGCACAAGTCGAGTCGACTGGCTCGCCCATGAGCAAGTGACTGGTCTAGGAGATTGGAGATCCACGAGCCTTGCCTAACACAGTGAATTCAGTAACCGCACGGTCACTAAATTTTAAAAGTGGCCAGAACGGCCACTTTTATTTTTTTATTTTTTATTTTTTCTCCTTCTGTTATTTACTATAGTTACCCTTCCCATTCCCAATTTTCTCACAACTCTCACTTTCTAGTCTCTAATCTCTTCTGCATTTTACATTCTAATCGTGATTCAACAATCTATCTACTAGTCTACATTCATTTCTCAATTCTACTTCTACATTCAATTTCAATTATTTAATATCAATTATCACACTACAAATTTACAATTAGAATCTTACATGTCAACTTTGTTTCAAGTATTGATTTGTTACTTGCATATACATTTTATATCAATTCACAAATTGATCCACACTCATTTGTTGAGGTTTGTTCGGTATCGGAGGCGAATCACCTATCACGCTGCAAAGTCAATTTCAGAATGAATTCACCAGTCTAAACGAAGTACCTATTCCCGAAAATATTCCGAATTTCGATCCTCATGGAAGTAGTAATCCAATTGATTTGGATGACATTGATGTTTTCGAACTGGAACGAGAGGATGAACATGAATTAAATATTCTCGACGCAAGGGAGAAGCGAAAGGAGAAAAACAAACAAAATATTTAGATCATTTTAAATTGATTCAAACAGGTCGTGTGGTCGATAGAGTTGCAGAATTTAAAGCAGCGTGTAAATACTGTCAACAACGATTGGCATGGCAAAAAGGAATTGGAACTACCCATCTCAACCGTCACTACAAAGCATGTGCGGCCAAACATGTGTTTCTTCCAGTAGATCAAACGTAAGTGCAATTTGGTAGTCCAAGCACCGGTTATACTCTACGTGGATGTATTCGAAGGAGAAAGATCAAACGGAAATGGTGAAATTTGTTGCCGCTGCTGAGTTGCCTCTAGCAATAGCGGACAACCAACATTTCGTCTCATACGGGAAAGAATATTTTCAATCGAGGTACGTTCAGGTAAGTCGAAGTACTCTTCGTTCAGATACAAAGAAAATATTGATTGTTGATTTCGAATAATATAGGGATGTTATATCTTTAATTTCGGATATATGGGAATGGATTAATAAAAGAGGTGCAAATGCACACTACATAGACCTACTTTAGTGTATGTATAAAAAAATTATTGATTTTAAAATTATTGAGTTCTCTCACAACGCTAACAATATATATAACGCTATTATGAACATTATTAGAGAATATCGTTACGAAAGTAAAATTCGTTCATTTACATTCGACAACGCTAGTGTTAATAAGGTAGTTATCGATAAATTGTGCAGAATACTACAGCTTGATTCGGTAGTTATTTGTTTCATATTCGATGTGTGTACCATATTTTAATTTAATATTGAATGATGGTTTAAAACATATTAATAATGAAATTCAAAGAATTAGAGATGCACTAGTGTATATCACGATTTCATTTAGTAGAAAACAAAGATTTGAAGAATTTTGCGTGGAATCTGAAGTGACAAATACAAAAACATTTATTAGTGACGTATGATATAAAGGGAACTCTACTTACTTATTATTAAAATCATGCGAAAGTTTTGAATATTTAATCATTGAATTTTATAACAATAGGCATATTAAAAACGATGATAATACTGTTTTGAATGAATCCGATTGGATTTTAGCTTTTAAAATTAAAAACGTTTTGACAAGATTTTATGATTCTACAAATATTTTGTCAGGAACTTACTATTTCACTAGTTGTATGGTACTTGAACGTCTTTATATAATTGTTAGGGTTTTTCATAGACATAAAAATAACCCCGATTTTAGTACAATTATATATTCCTTTAAATTAAAGTTTAGAAAATATTGGGAAGACTTGTCTATGCTATTTCGGTTAGCATGCATCATGGACTCCCGATATAATTTATCGGGTACTAAATTTGTAATTGATCAGATTTCAAGAGCTTTAACTTTTAATACACATATCACTTATAGAAATTTAGAACAAACTTTATGTAAAATGTATGAATTATATGCGGAACGAATGTATGCAAATATTAATTGGGTACCCTCTGCCCCTAGTCCTTCCATTGATATAACAAAAGACGACGCTGAAGTATTAACTTTATTTGAAGGCATTAACTCATATAGATATGATACAAATGTAGGTGGTTCCTCTAGTAGTAGTTTGTCTACCGCATTTAATCAAACATCGGACGGAAGTCCAAATGCATTGTCTGCTGAATTAATTGATTACATTAATCATAATATGCCTAATAACAAAACAATTAAGAAAAGGTCAAAAGAAGTAATTGAATTCTGGCAAAAGTACGAACGACGATGTCCAATGATTTTTGCGATGACAAAAGACATACTAACACATCCGGTTAGCACTATAGTTTCGGAGTCTGCTTTTAGTGTAGGTAAGAGATTATGTCCGAGGTTAGGAGTCGATTGAAAGAAGATATTTTGGAAGCATTAATGTGCTGAAGGACTGGCAAGACGGCCATTTTCAACTGCAAGATAAATAT